AGGCTGCGATGCAGGAGTAGGCCAAAGGCGCTGGGAAGGGTTTGAAGTCGCGGGGGAGGGTTTGAAGGCGGTGCAAAATGCGTAACGTCGCTTTTGGAAGCCCATAAGAAGAGAAGAGGCAGGCCTGCGATGCAGGAGTAGGCCAAAGGCGCTGGGAAGGGTTTGAAGCCGCGGGCGGGGGTTTGAAGGCGGTCCAAAATGCCTAACGTCGCCTTCGGAAGCCCATAAGAAGAGAGGAGGCAGGCTTCGGACAGGCCACAGAGAGGCCGCAACAGGCCTGCCAGCTGCCGAGGAGCGTTTGAAGGCGGTCCAAAATGCCTAACGTCGCCTTCGGAAGCCCATAAGAAGAGAGGAGGCAGGCTTCGGACAGGCCACAGAGAGGCCGCAACAGGCCTGCCAGCTGCCGAGAGAGGAGGCAGGCCTTGGACAGGCCACAGAGAGGCCGCAGCAGGCCTGCCAGCTGGCGAGGCCTCGGACAGGCCTTTGGAAGTGCTTGGAAGGGTTCTGCTAGGCTTGGCCAACTGCTTCACCCTGCGGTGTCCCAGGCGCCTCCCCGCCTAGGCTTTGGCTATAGGCCGGGGTCGGCGGATATATATATATATATATACATATGCATCCAGTATAATTACTATCGATGCCTCTTGATGTTGTTTCTGGTGATACAAGAATAGCACTTGTGAGGGAATAAAGCCAGAGAGAAAGCAGGGCATGTCCTTTTTTGTTTATGCTCAGAGTGCTTTGTGTTTGCAGGTTGCTGAACCGAATCAAGGGCACCTGCAGCAACTTGATAAAGGCTGCATGGCATTTTTTTCCAAGGAACCGATTTAAGTCAGCTGTAAGCATATCCTATGTCCCCTCTATCTTCATTGTATAGGCTACATTTTTCTTTTTAAATACCATGCCGACATCGTGCATACCATTGATTGATTTCCTCATTCCAAAGGTAGGCTGTTCAGCTGAAAGCAGGAACTTAGCCATGCTTGCAGGCAGTGAAGGGTTTGGTGGTCTTCTCACCAGAACTGGAAGCAGTGGCTGATGGATGTGCCTTCGGTGCATGCTTTATGCCCCTGTGTCCAATTTGCCTTGATCTGGAAAGGGAAGAGCTAGGAGAGCTGGAAGCAATCAGGTCTGACCAACAAGATTCCTGGACCTTGGATGGGCGTGTCCTACCCATCATTGAAGCCGCAGGAAGCTGAGACACTTTCACACCGGAGACATTGCCTACTTTTGTCCCTTTCTTTACCTAGAAAGACTACAAACAAATCAAACAATGTCTCCATATTTTTATCCCGTGACAATAAAATGGTCATATTATTTGCATTTGCATTGTCCTGAGGCTGCAGTCCTATGTGGATGCAACCCGGACCCAACAAATTTAAGCAAATACAGATTCAAATGAATGCAACACATCGAATCCTGCTCCTATGAACGTGAACATGTTTGCATTCTTGCAGTCCTTCCAATCACAATTTTATCCTGTTCCAATGCTTGCAGTGCTGTCCTGATCCCCTTGTTGCAATTGTGAATGGACTTAGGATTTCCTTTTGCGTTTGAAGTTCATGAACAACTGGATCAAGGAGACCCAAACACTTTCAACGCCGTGCCCGATTTGCTTGCTGCAAATCTTTTCGGCTGCGAAAGCATTTTGTTTTCACACTGGACTTCCGTGCTACTAGTGCTAGGATGGAATCCCATACATGTTCTGGTTCAGCGCCTACTTCTTCCAGCAGGTTCTGCTGCTGCTTGATTTGGCGCTTCTAAACAGTTAGGTGATCAGCTGACGAGGGACGAGAGAAAGCAAGTGTTTGGGTCCAAAGACTTGCTTTTTCCTTCTTTTTGGTTGCCAAGTCCATGTGCCTCTTGCAAGTCGAACGATCCGGTTCTGTGAGGCATTCTTGACAGGTGTGCTGCAGAACTTCGCGCGAACGGAATCCTTGCTGCACACGAATTTGGCTTTGTATTCAATTAGCTTGCCGATGTAAAGGGGTGAGGCGTTCGCTTGTGACGGTATTTTTCTCGTCGCTTGTGACGCTAATTTTTTCGTAGCACGCCCCACCCCACCCCACCCATGATGTTGGTGATGCTGGTTGTCGTCGCAAGTGGTCGGAAAAACATGGTCGTCGCAAGTGATCGGCAAACTGTCGTCGCAAGTGAATGGTGGACCACGTAAAGGTAGCATGTCAAAAGTATATATATATATATATATACATATGTGTGTAGTTTTTTTTTGAGTCTTATTGGTTGGACCTGTTTGACCTCTCAGGACAAGATTGCCATTGATCGCTGCATTTGGAACTTCGAGGCTGCAACCTAAGAGTTGAGAGTTAATTAGTAGCTACGTCAGTCCGCCGTTTTTGTGTGAATAGCGAAAATTTGACCTGGCATTGCGTGGAAGGTCTTGAAAGCTGCATTCAAGCCAGAAGAGTACCCAGCGAAGGCACCCAATACCATTTTATTTAGGTGCTAGCTAACACGTGATTGTTTCCGTCATGATGTTGACAGGGTGCCTACATCAACGGCATGTTCATGTCCGGAGCTCGCTGGGATGATGACAACATGTGCATTGAGGATTCCTTCCCGAAGGCTCGACGCATGTGTGTGTGGGTGTACCACTCTGGAGGGACAACTCTTCACTGGGAATGTGCAATGTAAAGCGACAGGCTTGAGGCCTGCAAAGTGATTACAGTACCTGATTACCTTGTTATACAGCAGACACCTTCCACTCATCCCCAATTCTGACCTTGAATCTCTATGCAGTTTTGTCACATGTTGTGCAAACATTTGTGCAGAGTCAAGACCTGCACGGCAGGGTTTCGTGTGTCATCATTTACTTGGTGCGAACTATCAAAAATTGCTCGAGATTTCCGATTCGTGAGTGTGTGATAGTTTGATAGTTTAATTTTTTAAAGACTTTTGTTTGGTCTTGAGTCTTGCAGTTGCAGTTCAAGTACTTTGGTCGGCAAAAGCTGACCACTTTCGACTGTCGAAGTTTGGCTACGTTGGAGGTACTTTGGGCCGAAATGTCCCCCGTATGGCTGAAGCCAGTCGAGGGCTTTGGACACGTAGTGACAGTGTTCAACATGTAGTACACGCGCACATGGATTGGAGTCAAGTCACTTTGCTGGCGGCAACAGTCTCTTGCTAATGCTTTGAGGTGGAGAAGCAAGAAGATGCCCACAACTATGACAAGCTCTACAACGCTGCTCAGCCCAACAAGAATATATATATAGTTATTACTTGGAATCCTGGGTGTCTGACTCAAACGGCTCAATGTTGCTTCAAGACAGTGTCTTTTGTTGTCGGATTCTCTGGGACCTGTTCTTTCGTCATGAGGCTCCCATCTACAAAACGTCTGAGCGCAAGGGCGTATTGTCAACAAGCCGCTTGACCTTGGCAAAGCTAAACATGTCGTAACAAGAGCACAAGGTGTTGACAATGGTTCATGCAGAAGAAGCCAGGATATACTGAGATACCTAGCGGAATTTAATATTGCAGAGAGACAGGACATATGGCATATGCGGGAAGGAGAACAAGATTCGCTTAGGTGGTCACTCTTCCAACTTCATTATGTACCTTGCCATTCCTCATTCTTGCAACGGTGTTCACAGAAGCTTGGCTGTGCTTTTATGACCTGCAAGCAGGGCAGCTCAACAAAACCTAGGAAAGAACACCATTCCTGCAGCAAACTCACCTGTTTCCTTGCATATTCAAGCGATGTGATCGCCAAGCTCCCGAGCCGCCACTCCAGAGTTGTAGCTTGTGGCCGAGGCGAAGAATTCTGGACGAAGCGAGGAGTTGCGCTCATTTCGCAGACGGATGACTAAATATGTCCCTTGCCAAGACAGGTTACTTTGAGCAGGTTTCGCTAAAGTTTTGCATAGTTTTGCTGTTTATTCTTTGCAGTTGGCTTCCTCTTAGCTTCTCTTCTGATTCCTGTGAGGCACATGTGGGAATGGATGCAGGCATTCTTGCTTTTGTGGAGTGGGTTGTCCGTGGTGAAACATCAGTTTGCTGCCGGCATCATGATAGTTTTTCGAGACAATCCTGAGCATCACTGGAAATCATGCATGCTTGCGACTTTTCAGTGGCTTGAGCTTGTCAAGGGTTTTGCATGGTTTTGCCACACAGTGAACAACACTGAACTACATCAAGGTGCCTGCGATCAAAGTAGAGACATAGGTGACTTGCTCAAATGCCGCGTGTAAGCTCATGCTGGCGAACGTCAGCATGCGCGTTGCAAGGGGTCGGTTCAAGAGCGCGTAAGTTGTGCCTTGTCCGGCCATTCATGCTTGATTGACTGCATGTCGCTTCTTGAAAAAGGTGTATCGAGTCGTGCAACCTTGCAAAGCACAGGGAAGTTTGAGACCACCAGTCATTTGTAGTTACAAGTGCATGGAACATGAGAACATCCAGTGCTTGGAGTGTCGCAATTATATTCACATCCCGCCAGATGCGCTCAGTATCGCACGAAACCTACTTTTATAAGATTCCCAGGCAGCCATAATTTGACATCCATCATCATCCATTTTCATTTCATGCATCGTCATTTCATTTCTTCCTCATTTTCTATCCTTTTTTGGGAGTGTGATTCATGTTCTCTTCATTTTGGTCCCCGTTTATTTGTTACAGTACTTCATGTTCTCTTTGACACATGAAGGTAAACAAGACGAATGAATGAAGAGGACAATTCAGCTCTCATTTGAAGCATCTTCTTTCTCTTGATGTTCTTTTCCATTTCTTTTCATTGTTCAATTGTTCAAAAAAAACAACAATAAGTTGCATTGAATTCTACTTTGAATTACTGAGGGCGTTGCGAGCGTGGTAGACAGAGTGTGGATTCCGGCCAATGGAAGGGAACCACATATTGAGAGGTTATGAAACTCTCACCAAAACCACGCCTTGTGGCGAACCTCAGAGCCGATATTGGGTGTACACATTCTGACAATTTGGATTTAACCATGCAGTAAGGAAACTTCCTCGACGCAAGATGTCTGAAAAGGGTGCAGTGCTGACTAAACATTTTAATATCCCAAGTCTTCCTCACTTGCACGGGCACGCTCAATATGGTTCAAACGCTTCCAGATTCCAAGGCCAAGTCAATCTCAGCAAGCGCCTCGGATTTTGTTTGACATGAGAAGTACACATCAAGGGCACGCTGGTAAAGACAAGAAGCAAATGGATTATGGACAAAATTCAAGTCGTAGCTGCATCATGCAGCACCGCAACCAGGGGAGTTGTTGGACCGGAGCGAATCTTTTTCCTTCCTTGTCCGAGGACTTTGGCTTTTCTGTCATGCTAATGAAGTTGCAGCAAACTTTCAGTGGAGAGTCACTGCGAGTTAGAAGATGTGGGAAGATCTCCAGTCGCACGTGGTTTGAATGACTTGTCAACTTTGTGCTTGGCAGGATTCCTTCAGAACCTGCAGCCCTGTTCCATCAGGATTTGAGCGTCATGGCCACTTGGAATACACAGCTGTTGGCGACAATTAACATATGGGTGCTCGCTAAATCGGGGGCCCCCGGGAGAAGTCATTGGCAGCCATTTGAATATGATATGGTGATTCAATCCTCTGATGACTCACAAAATATGCAATATGCCACAGAATGCAATGCATCATGGATTTCTCGTGAAGCAAGCCACACAATGTAGTTTTTTGGAAACAATGCCGGGAATCCCAGAGACAAGAAACGAAAAAGCAGGCATGGAACACAAATAGCAAAACATATTTGTGGGCGGCATCAACCGCCTTTTTTACATAGACATCTAGCAGTGGCACCCTGCAGCGGCACCCTGCAGCGGCACCAACACCCAAGCTCCAAAAGCTGCCATCAACATTTGGCAGCAGCGCCCTGGAGTGGCGGCCGGCAGCGGCACCTTAGACTGGCACCCGGATGTCACGTAGGACTCCGGGCAAGGAAGGAAAGGGCAGCCAATGAGGAAGAGGAGAAGAGAGGGGGCTCAGCAAGCAGCGTCAGGTCCGGAAAAAGGAGGAGCAACAGTGATGCCAACGACAAGATGGTGAGAGATTGAGGATAGTGCAGCGAACCGCGTCAAAGCCAAAGCCATCTAGGAAGAGTTCCTAGGAGGAGATGACACGCTTGCCCAAGAGATGCGGCACCGCTTTGAAGAAGGAGAGGCCTCCTGAGGTCCCAGACGAGGAGCTGGCCAAGCTGGATCAGGAAGCGTGCACGCGCGAGGAGGAAAGGCTTGGGAAGATGGGCGTTCTTCAGAACATGAGACCAAGACGCCAATTCAAACGGGCAGTAGAGGATGCATTGGCTAGATGAGAACTGGCTTGGCCCTGCGCTGCAAACTTTGGATTCAAGGACGCCCCTGCTCATGGATCAGCCAGCTGACGAAAAGGCCATGACCGTGACAGGCATAAGGACCGAAGAAGAACACTCCTGATCAACGAAATGTCAGGTTGTTCTAGAGTTTGGCCCAGAACAAGATCTGACGCAGCCACGGAGAAGGAGGACTCTACCTACTGTTCACGTTGATAACTTTTTGACGAATTGGCTTGGGTTCCTTGATCGCTTGACGCAATAGCCAACAGAGAAAGTTGGAGAGTAAAGCGACGCGTGAGTTCATACCGTTGGAAAGCTTGAAGGGCTTGCTTCCGGGATCGCGGACCACACGTCAGAAGCATGTTGAATGTTGGAGATCAAGTGCGTGAATGGCAAGGCGTACCATGAACAAAATAGCGCTCGACGCAAGGTGGTTTGTGACGCAGACTACGCAAAACGCGTGACGACCGCGACTCTGTGAGCTCAGTCTCAGCCCTTTTCTCAGATGGAGGCTTCGTGTCTATCATGCGGTAATCCAAAACAAACTTATTTATGGGTTGAAAACCGTTCACCTCACACAAAGCATGTTAAAAAGAATAAATGCATTTCACCTTCGTGGCCTGAGATCGATCTTGGGACTGTAGACCACTTTTGCCAATCGCAGAAACACAATTGAGTTTGTCTTGAGAACTGCTTCTGAACACGCTGGACAACAAATCCAGTTGTTTTCGGGCCTCCTAGAACTCATAATGGTGACCCATTAAGAGAAGTCACTTATGCGCCCAGTTCTGCAAGCGGTTTTCCTAATGGCAAGAGGAGGGTTGGAGGTCCGAGACAGCAATGGCGCCATTTCACACACAAACATATCTGGGATAACTTTTCGGACGAACGGACGGAGTATGAAAACACGGAAAGGCAAAACCAAAAAATGTATCAGATGGCTCTCGCGCGGAAAATTTTGAAAGCTGTCGCATCGTGGGCCTACGGACACTTTAGTGACTTTAGTGCCCACGACAGGAAAAGAACAAATGTAATTGAAAGAAATACGTTGTAATACGCAAGGGAAGCCACAGTGGGGCAGGTACGAGTTACTGCGCCCTTACATTGCTACAAGCGCCAGCCACCCTGCCCGACAATCGAACGACAACGTACGTGAGGCGCTAGCAAGGGCGGCGTATCAGCCGCGAGCCACAAAACAAGACGAAGCAAGATAGTCAGCCTGAGGAACTAGGAGACAGACGACCAAGACAAGATCGAGATGCGGTCGTTCATCATCAAGCTGGAGGCAGCTTATGAGGAGCAAGAGACAGAAGAAAAGTTGCAACGGTGTTTGGATGAGGCCTTGAAACCACCGTCAAGAGAGCAAACGCTCCAAGTACGACTGGAGCTACAAACGCAATACACAATGCAGTGCTTGCGCAACAGATGAGGAGAAAGACAGAGAAATTGCGAGGGTGTGCAAAGAGCGTGTGAAGCGTCCGAGTTATGGAAACTGCGATTGCGTGAAGCGAACAACGAGGCAACTGCCTATTTGCAGCGAACATGGCAAAGGCAATGGAGAATCACGCGCAAGGAGTAGCGCGTGAAACCTTCAGGTGAGTGCCGCCACGCCTATGACTGTTCACATGTGGCCAAACGAACTAAGAGGTCTATCAGGCCATGCGCCTTATTGCGTTCCACCCGGATTTCAAATAATTCCATTGGTAATTGTTACACGGTGCATGGAACGCATGTTAGAATAAAGCAGTCGCATGTAGACTGACTATTCTTGCTTTGGGGGTGCTGGCTCACACTTTTACACGGACGATCATTATATTATACATATGTGTTTGTTCGCAATATTTTGTTGGATAATGACCGCCCGCATACATCATCGGAGCAAAGACCTGAATGTCGAGTTACGGACACCGCAATCTAGACCAAACAAGGCCCTTCTGAACAATTTGCCAGCAAAGCCAAAGTGCCTGCTCCTAAGGTTGCGAACCTTGGTTTTCTTTTCCGATGCATTGTTGCCTCACTGATGACCTCGCGGAGGGTAAGGCCACCTGCAGCCGCTTTAAAGACATCAGGGTACTTTTTTCCAGTTCCCTTGTGAGGTGCCTTAAAGGATTTTTTTCCAGTAGTTTAGCGACCTCACGGAATTATTTGATACAAAAGATTCTTGGAGCCGAACGGGGAATGACTTTTTGGGGTCTATCCGTATGAATTTTTGGGGAGGGGCGAGGGACCGTCCACCTATTCAAGGTGTTTGTGACGAAACCGTAATGCCTTTCTTGCTTGGCTCTTAATTTGCATGGAATTTGGCAGAGAATGTTTGTATTTATACGGAGATATTATTGGTTCAACGTTTGCAACAGTTTTGAAAGGGCCCAAAGCATTCTAAGTTTCTTTGCGTCGAACAATTTGACGCTTCGTGACCCGTTTTAGGCGTACCGTGTGAGCTTCGAAGGGCTCTGGGACGAAAGTCAGTCGTTAGCTGTAACTTTTCATTTTTGCTAGCCGTTGTCCTAAGCTTTTGAGCACGAATTTGCAGCAATGTTGCAGGTTTGACGTTTGTTCTTGTTGATTCGCCAACCAGGTGCAACACCCGCTTTGTTGCAATTCTTGGTGATTCGAGGCGAGCAGAGGCAAGGAAAAATGCGGCGACTTCGATTCCTGAGGTTGTTCAACGTTTTTAAGCCCTTCATTTTTGTTGGGTTTGTGGAGTGGAACAGTGGAACACTTCCACTGGATTGCAGGGTGAGGGCGCGGTCAGTCCCACGTCGATGTCTCAGCAGTCTTGCCGAGAGGCCCAGATGGAAAAAGAACTGAGCCATCGCAAAGCGTCAATCAGTTTGCTGTCAAGCAACAGGCCAGCAAAGGTGCAAGGCAAACAGCATACAATCAATTATCCCGGCAGTCGACCCCAAACTGTGTGTCTAAAGGTCTCAGGTCTAGAGATGGCGACGGTGGTGATGGTAGTGGTGGATGGTGGTGATGGATGGTTTGGTGACGGTGGTATTGTGGTAGCGGTGGTGATGGTGGTGCACGGTGGTGATGGTGGTGGTGGTGGTGCTGGTGCTGGTGATGAAGGGTAGCGATGGTGGTGATAACGGTGTTGGTAATGGTGGTGGCGATGGTGGCGATGAAGGTGGTGGTGGCGGTGGTGACGATGGTGGTGACGGTGGTCGTGGTGATGGTGGTGGTGGCGGTGCTGGCGCTGGTGATGCTGGTGATGCTGCTTGTGGCGGCGATGACGGCGGTGGAGTAGTGGTGGCGGGCGGTGATGATGGCGGTGGAGATGGAGAGTGTGCTGGTGATGGTGGCGGCGGTGGCGGCGGCGGTGGTGGTTGTGGTGGTGGTGGTGGTGGATGGTGGGTGACGATGGCATGATGGTAGTGGTGGTGATGGTGGTGCTGCTGATGGTGGTGGTGGTGGCGGTGGTGATGGTGGCTGTGGCGATGATGGTGGTGGTGATGGTAGGGATGATGTATTGCGTCTGCCACAAAATCTGCACCTCAGGGTCCAGGTGTCAAGGTCCACAAACGTTTGCTGAAACCTGCACCTCAAGGTCCAGCTGCGCCTGCGACGAAATCTGCGTTTCAAGGTCCACAAAGTACTGCGCCTGCGTTTCAAGATTCACATCGCGCAGCCCTACCAAGGTAATTCGCAGCAAGAGCGCTCCCAAAGACAACATCAAGATGCCGAAACGCAGCTTTCGCTCGAGAATTCCTCCGAAAACGAACGACAGGTCCAAAAGTCACGAGTCACTGCACCTGCCACGAACTGAGAGCACGTCGAAAACCACCGCCATGTCCAAAGTTCCTGCGCCTGCCACGAAATCTGTACATCAAGCCCGAAAATGCGCACGGCGCCACAACGAGAGCGCAGTCTTAAAGAGCACCATCTCGGGCCCAGCAGATTCTGCGAGCCTGCGCAGTCGAAATGCACTTCGAAGATCTCGATGTGAGTGAGTGTACTAAATAGTAGTGACTTAGGCGCCGGCGGATGCAAGCACCTCGATTAGACACCCGTCCTAAGCAGTTACCGTATGAACCCCTAGAGAAGCCTCAGCTCAACAAAAAACGATTGATGGAGCATCCACATTGTGATTCTCACAACAATGCTGCTCAGCAGGTCTCCTTTGCAGCTTGAGATTGTTGGGGATGAGGCCAACTGCACTGTTCACGCTTGACGATTTACGTTGCTTGCCGCAATATATAAGACGTCGCATACAACGATTTGCTTAGCTTTACTCAGGGCAAGTTGATAAATCATAGGTTGACATTATACATACACTGCGATTAGATACTCATGCTTTCTGCTGATGCATGCTGAAGGTACAGATGATGTACGCTGAAGAAGTTTGGGTGGCCGCCACCTTTCGGAAAGCTTTGCAACGCTTCAGGTGAGTTTCAACATTTGTAGGGCATACCATTCATGTTTGGGTTTGGAGACTGTTTGCTCCACTTTCGTGCTAAATGTTTGGTCCTTCTCATCCAAACGTTTATGCATGTTTTCCTTTCTTTTGCATCAATGCCTGCATATGTGCCAGTGCTCAGAAAACATGTGCAACAATGTTGACAATCTAACGCCGAAGAGCATCCACTGTTTCCAACCTGTCTTGATTGCCAGTGACCCTGTGCTGGGCAGCAAAAGGGCAAAGAGTGCTCGCACGGCTGGATGGAGGCTTCACAGTTGTGGTGAACAAAGTTCTGTCATGTTTCATTTTGTTAGGGTGACAAGGACTTTTCGCAGTTGCTTGACAAATGTATGTGTTGAGGAACTGCAAAGAGATGCAAGAGCCAGAATCAACATTCAGCCAAAAACAAAAGGATCGACACATAATTAATTACTATTTTGAACGTCCCAGCACAGGTTTTCACGTCATTCAGTTGCAGATGCGCTGGAGGAGCCCCATGGCCCAATTGGGTTTTCATGGTTGTTTTTGGGCCAAGGTGGTTGAGGTTGGAAACGAGACGTAAGGCTAAAGATGTGTCGAATCGAGATGCATTGAAGATGGAAGAAGGTTGGACATGAGACAGGTGGAGAGGCACTTTATCGAAGTACTGTTCTTGACAGAACTCGAAGGTGGACAGTGCGGTTCAGTGGTTCTAGATTCTAGATTCTAGAGTACCACCATGTTTTTTGTGGAGCAATGCTAGATTCTAGACGAATGTTCTGTCGTTGTTCTTGATTTGTGCCAGAATTGATACTCAGATCATGAGTCTTGAGTCCCTGAGCAAACTTCATTTGTTGTTGCTGTTGGTATGCTTGTTTGGCCTTAAGAGCTGGAAATTGTGACAGGGCACAGGCCAGGCCACGGGCCATTCCTGAGCAGTACCTCTCAGATGTTTGATCAACATGAGAAACCAACTAGTAGCAAGGGCATCGCTACTAGTAACAAGGGCATTACTACTAGTAGCAAGGTGCCTTGCTGCTAGTTGCTTGTTACTACTAGTAAGGCACCTTGCTACTAGTAGCAACAAACTTCTGCATTCTTTTGTGCCGCACTTCCACTCTTCAACCTTCAGATTGTAAAACGCGGCGTTCCTTGAACAAGCGGTCCGTTTGATGCTTTCAGAGAGTTTCACAGAGCTTTTGCACAGAAGGACTTTGCCTACACAGAGCCAAGCGTCATCCTCTTGGGTATGGTAGATGAATTTGATCATGCTTTCAATATTTATTATGTAAAGAATGCCATGTGCCAAAGAGCTAAAGAGCAGGTTCCTTTTCCTCCACTGGGGAAAAGATTACATTGACATTTGCTTCTTCTTCTTCTTCCTCCATGGTAAGACATTTCGGAAATCGCTTGGCTCCTTCATTTCTGGCTGTTTGATGTTGCCTTAGGCAACCTTGCTTCTGAACGATGTCGCCAAAGAGCCGCAGAGCAAGTGGAACCAACTGGTATTTTCACATGAAGAGCTACGTGCATAAAGATCATATCTAGATTCTAGATGATAATTATAGAGCCTAGAGCAGCGAGCAATGATAAACCTTTAAGAAGTGCGAGCACTAACAGCACTCAGGTCAGCAGAAGATGCCTTACAGGCTGATTGCTTTTCAAGACGTGTCCTTCTATCAGAGCCATTGGGATACGTGGGATGGTGAGCATCCACAGTCTATGACACTGTTTAGTTTGTGCAGTCTTTATCGACCAGATGATAGCTGTCCGACGCGTGCTGCCAGAGGATCTGCACTCCAAAAATTCATCAATATCACGCCTGATTCTTTGCTCAGGGCTATGACCTCAGTTAGCTTCAGGTTTTTGTCAGCCGAGAAACGGGGAAAGAGGTGTCACTAGGTGCGAGGAGCATTGAAGCACCCTGAGCTTGTTGTGTTTGTATTCCCAGCCAGCACCTTGCAGTCATAAGATCATAAGACCTTTGGTGAGCCTTTGGAAAGAAAACACGTTGTACATTGGTGCACATTTGTCGGGAGGCTTGAGGAAAATTTGCCACCGGACCTGTTGGAAAGACTCCCCACACGTTTGGAGCTCCAGTACTCAACAAACTGTGCACAGTACTCGTAGCGTCCTTGCTCCTAGTAGCGATGCCCTTTGTTCCTAGTAGCTTCTTGTTCCTAGTAGTAAGGCCAGGAGCCCCTAGTAGCGTCCTTGCTCCTATCAATACGTTGGGTTTTACTGATTTCCCGAGGCCAGGTGAAATTGGGTGTCAACTTGGCGAGTCTTGCAATGCTTTGCCAGTGGCTTTTGCGGAGCTTGAGCTATACTATACCATTCTGTCAGAATATCACGTTCGAATGCCAGGGACCACTTTCATCATCACAGCGCCTGGTCGTCATGTTTGAAGCTTACAATCATTATGTCATTGTGCCTTGTTGCACAACATTATTATAGCGGACATGAACAGTGATGAACACCACTGAAACTGACATGTCACCAGCTCGCAACTGCTTGAGTATTTGGTAGCTGTAGTGTGCTCAGTGCTCCCTTTGTCAGGAATTATCTCATAGACCGCACCTGGAGCTGTGCGCTGCACAGACCTGGTCGGGAAAAATGTGTCTCTTTGCCATGAACTTGCCATGAAAAATATTAGTGTAGGACGATGTGAAACTGAATGTTGGCACTGCGTGGCACCAAAGTCTTAGAGTAAAGAGTACCATTCAAGGGCCGAGTCGTATGGCCAAATCCACCCGATTTGCCATGCAGGAGCAGCGGGAGAGGAAAGAAGAGGAACTTCGCCGCAAGCGAGAAGAGGCGTTCTGAATCGATGATTGCGGCCTCATGCGTGGTTGAACATTGATTGAATTGTTACATTCAATCCTTTCCGTGTTTCCCAAACAGAGGAGTAGTCATTTCGAAGGTTTCTACATGAGAATGAGACAGAATGACGGAATGAACGGTTTTCAGTCGGACATGTTCGGGCTAGGAGGTGAGGGAAGATCGGCGCTTGGCAAAAGAGCTTCGAGAAATCGAGGACAGTTCAATAGCGCAAGAAGCACATCGGTCTTCTCCTCTTTCACTTCGAGGTACACAAATTTAATCAAATTTACACATCGTTGCACAGAAGAAGAGCACAAGTAGACAAAGGTTGCCCGAAATGCGCACATGAGGAGCGGCATCGACATGAGCAGGCAATGTCGCTTCACAAACCCAGTTTAGGTATGTATCCCAAACGTTTACCGCTGCATTGTGTTGCATTCAACTACAACAACTATGACAAGAATCCATTGCCATAGTTGCTGCTGGAACGATTTGGCTGGAGTGAGGCGGGAGATGGCATGGTATAAGTGCGACTGTAGACAGTGGCTACAACGCAACTACAGCTAAAGATTGATAAAACAAATATGTCGACATGTTGAGAGCAAGAAGAAGAATTGTATTACAAAAAAATCAGCCTCTCATTGAAGAATGAGCAAATTGTAGTCTATATTGGGAGCAAATACTCACAAATAGTTCCTCTGGATTGATGGAGACCCACTACACCACACTGGGAGTGGAGGCCAGCTGAGCAATGTGCGAGACGTGCGGCAAGCACGGTAGGGGCGAAGCAGTAGCAGTAGGTGAAGCCTGGTGCTTGCGTTGAGAACAAGCTCACAATTTTGTGTGCATAGTTATAACATGTTATAACCTTATGTGGGAGATTGTGGGAGTTGATCTAAAACCCCGTGTAAGGAGTTTTATATAAAACAGCCTTTCAGATGTTATTAAAACCATCCGCGAAAGATTTGCGAAAGTATTTTTTTGTTTTCCGTGAAATATTTATCGTTTTCCTTTCTACCGACCGACAAATGGTAGAAATACAAGGCAATCCTCCGGCAGAGCCGGTGGGCGGAAGTGTCCCCGCATTTCCCATTGTCACAGACTGACAGACTAACGAACTGAAGCCTCAACGTAACATTTCCTTGCCCAGCCCTCGCAGTGCGTAAAGGATTCTCCCATTCCTGTCCCCACTGTCACAGACTATCAACCCGAGTAGGCCAGTAGGCCTGAGTAGGCACAGCCCTGACAGTGAGGCAACGACCTGCAGCCGCGGGCTGCGCAGATGTTTGCAAATGTTACGCCTTCCCGGCAAAGTCGCCAGTGAAGTTCACGAAAGACTTGCAAAAGCTTCGCGAATGTGCCGCTGAAGTTTAGGTTCTAGCTTGAGGCCCCCCAACATTCCCCAAGCTGCATCACCCTGTGCTGGTAGCTGGCACGAGGATTGGGTTGACTTGTGCCGGACTCTATTCATAGTCATAGTCTATTATTCTAAGTTTCCGCCAGGAATTAGGATACTGTTGTCGCACAGATGCTGCGAGTGACCCTGAGCAGCTGTGGAAACTATGCTGCAAGATGTCAGTCCCTATTTTGTGATACATGAATAGATCCGGCTCATGTTAGTAGGACCATGCTTCGCGATAAGGCCGCGAAAAATCTGCCAAAGATATTTTTCTCCTCGAAGAATGGCCATTCCAGGATGAAGAAAAATTGATCAACCACCATGTATATTAAATCTGTAGACCTTTGTGACTGGTACTGAAAGGGCGCAACGGTTTCCGACATTCGCCGGCACAGCCGCATCCTGTTTCCGCCAGGCCACAGCCTCGGAAGCAGATGTCCGGCAGGCATACAAAACAAAATGCCGACTCTTGCACCCGGATAAGAATGCTGATCGGTACCTCGACTTGTCTATTTCGACAGATCCTCCGTGTTGTGGTTTGGCCAGATAGCACATCTAAGGCAATCAACACTGGCTTTTCAGCGTCTCCAAGAAGCCTACGAGACCCTGCGAGACCAAACAAAGCGTTCCTTAGAGGTGACAGATCTTGGCACTTTTTCATTGTGACAGCATGTGGTTCCACATCATTCCACACTTTATGACTCCAGGCCTCCAGGTTTATTGTCTTCAGGGTAGTCGAGTTTGTGTATACTCCTGTCCTTTTGTGTTTTCCGCCTGCTTTTGTGACTGCTGTGTGAGACTGGCTGGCCAAGGGTGTGGATATGATACCCAGCTGTGGCTTCAGGGCCTAGGCAGAGTCAAAGAGGGTGAGAGTGGGAGAGCATGAATGAAGGGCTTTGACGCAATCATCCGCCTTCTTCTTTCTCCCTTCCTGTGTGTTTGTCTCTCTCTCTCTCTCTCTCTTTCTCTCGCCCTTTGTTTCAGTCTACTGCACTCCTCATTTAGTTTTGCGATGTTTTGCGCAAAGAATCAGAGAAATCACAATGCAAAGAGAAAGTGCTTGCCAGTGCATCATCCAAGCTTGCAGGTGTTGATCCAGATGAACGACAAGTGGAATGGATCGTCAATGCAAGATCAAGCAATGCAACAGTCATTGATGTAAAGGTTGAGACGCGGCTGCTGGAACCATCACCATTTGCTCAGCTGCGTCAGAATTCTGGCGCGGACTTCCTCTACCTCCGAATACGGAACAACCAACATCAATCAGTACCGTGGCGACATTCATTTGGCTTTCCAGTGAACTCATGCTGTATAAATACAAATAATATAAACGTAAAGATATCAGGGGGGCAATGTGGCAAAGAAATGGACAACATCACATGTGGATCTAACCCGAGCGTCGGGACCAAACAGTTGTGAGTCGGCTTTGTTGCTTCTCTGTGCTTGGGACCCTTTCTCGGTCTTTATCCCTTCATAGTGCTTTAGTCTCACGTTGAAGATTTGGAACTGGAAATCTCAGAACATGTCGGATCCTGGAAAAGGCCTCAATTTGTTTAGTATATTTTAGTATCTCACACTCTCTTGCTTTGTTTAGAAGGCATCCAAGTGCAAATCAACCGTTCAATCGTTTGTTCCACTTTCCACCCGCAATCCATCCAATATGACCTGGGGACATTTTAGGTCAAAGAACAGCATCATCCCTATGTCCGAAAGCAAGCCAACTATCTAATTTACAATCCAATATCAAACAAACAAATCATCACGCCTCACCCCTGCGAGGAGTGTGATCATGATACACAGAGGGCAATCATTCTTGTAGCATGACGGATTGATTGAAGTACCAACCATGAGGCCGATTGCCTACACACGCGATTTATCTTTCCGCATGTAGCTTTACTGTAACTCCCCTGCCTTTTGACGCGCTTCGTTTCCTTTGATCCCCACAGTAAGATACGTGTGTCGTACTGTATCCGGAACTCTCAGGTGGTTTTCATCAAGGGATCTGAACAGATGGTTGAGACGGGGAAGCAGCTGCTCTTGAAACATCGAGACGAAGCCTTCGGGCTGGCTGCTCCAGCGCATGGCCTTGTCTTCATTGTACCGAACGAGATTCCTGGAGCAACACATTTTTCTGCACCCTTTTCGTTTTTCTGCTTCTGAACTTTGGGGCAATGTACATGTCGCCTTTAGAAGATGTCACTGTGCTCTGACCTGTTCTTTTTCCGCTTTTTTGTTGACTGAAGGATGATGTCCCGTGTTCCTCTCATCCAGAGCAACCTGCCAGCTTTGAGCAGCAAGCATGGTGTGCAGATATCTCCAAAATCACAAGACCGTTTTGCAGTGCTGGGGAGCCTGAAGAGTGCATCAAAAGTAGCGGCGCAACTTCAACGATGGACAGGGTTCAAAGGAACGATTCTGCTTCTAAGCTGCTAATAAACCATCCTTTTTCTTCACTGTGGTCAGATTCTTCCAGAGTCTATACATATAATATATATATATATAGCATTATATAGCTTTGATTATCGTGTTTGACCTGCAAGGCTTCCGGGCGGGGAAGAATTGGATGCATGGCAATATGAACATTACTGTGAGATGTCGGACTTGAATTTGCTTCAAGATCTCCACGCAAGCGTGACTCCCGGCCCAGATCAAGAACCCGATTCTGGGCAAGTCCGGAGACTATTCGCCTTTGCCTGTGCAAAAAAGGTTACAGCGGAAGAGAACGAATGTCTCACAGTCTTGGCAGTGGCCGTTCTGAGTCTGAATCGGCTGACCACGCCCTTAAAGAGAGCCCTTGTTTCTCAAGCACTTTGTGCCGAATGGAGTGGAAGCTCATATTTGCAAAAAAGATAAATTGCATGGACATATTAGTATGTCCAGTTTTTTGTGTACAGTGTACTGTGTGCCTTTCTGCAATCGTATATTCTAGAAAGTCAAGTTTCCCCAAAATCTAGGGACCAAATCATTAGTGCGAGCGCTTGAGGGCGGGGGGAGCTTCCCTGGGAAAGCTACTAGCAATAGGAAGCTCCTACTGTAGCTACTTTCCCTGACTTAATTAAGTAGGCGCATACTTACTTGATTGGCAGGGCCAAGGGCTAAAAACAAAGAGCTCTTTTTTGGTCCATGCTTTCTGGACACCTTTGTCTTCCAAGGCCTGCCATCGAAAGACAAAGCACCGTTGATATGCGCGATAGCTTCTACACAGCACCAACTCATTCATCGATCGGAGTACGAGGCCATGCTCAAAGGTTTCAAAAGCCTCGGGGAATTCCTCACGGGGCAACAAGGACTTCTTCTGCGTGCAAGAGGCTATGTGTCTATGAAAGAGGCCGTCCCTGCTGATTCTTGGCTCAGCAGCGTGAGTTCAAGTTGCCAGGTTGTTGCACTCATTTGATGCTTTATGATGCGTTACTGCTTTACAGTGTTTATTGCAGGAAGCATGCAAGGAACGATGTATACATAGTGGTCTCTTGTTGACAAACATGGCCTGTCCTTTGTGAAGTGATAAAGAGTTGCAAGCACAGAAAATAGAGCCACATAGATTGGAAGCGCTGGACATCAGAATGCGCTAGGGCCTTGAGACAAGATATATCATACAATGCAACTGCAAACAAATACAATATCATACATACTTTGCCTGCCAGGCTTTTCACTTTTACGATTGCACCACTTGGATACCAAACGACAACTAGAAACGATTTGGAATAGACAATGACCGAAAGGCCTTTGGGAAGGCCACGTGTGATTGCCACAGGTATGCATTCCTAAGCTTTGAGCGCAGTCTCAAGCCGGCAAGTGCATGCGCGCACACACACTCGGGCAAAGTTTTTGGATGCGTAACCTGCCGAAGACTAACATGGACCCTGAAAACCACCGGTTTGTAGAAGATAACAACCTTTCAGGGTGCCATTCTCAGGGTCCATGTTAGTTTGCCGGAGTGTAAGCGTGCGCACACACACACACACAAATGCAGAGCTGTGTGCAATGGCAATGTTTTTTTTTGCAAGCTGTTGAAATGTTGAAAAATGACTCGCAGGTGGCTCTAGCGTACAAACATTAAAGCAATATATATATACTGTATATATACAGAGTGAGAGCGAGAGAGAGAGTGCGATAAACTTCTGAGGGACAGGACAGGACCAAAGAGCTACAGTTTTTTTTTTCAAGATGGAAAGAGGAGTATGAAATGCCATTGGAAGACACTGGCAAATTTCAGGATTCATCTAGGGCAGCAGTTGGACTGCTCCCAAAGCTAAGATACAGGGAACGTGCCGCCTGTTAGAAAGTTGACAAGAACTGTGTCATTGCCAATGTTCACAACGTTGAATGCATCAACACATTTCCAGAGTTTGTTCTTGAGCATCCGAGGTTCATTCTTTTTGTTTTTGGAAAGCAGATTCCCCTGTTCAAGCGCTCAGTGCATAGTGATTGCAAAGTTTTGCAAGTCCCCTAGACTTGTGGGCATGCAGCAGAAACTGGCGCCAAGGACTCTCAGTGGCATGGCTGGTTTGAGGTGTTGATAACGGGCAAACTCTCAACATTTTGGCTACAGTGTCTTGAAATCGTCCGCCTACCACAAGATTGGCATGCAGTGCCACAAGTAATGGGATTGGTGCTGCAACACTGCTCTGGGCCTGACATGGCGGTGGACACAACCAAGGGCTTGAGACACGAGCAGGCTCCATCCACAGCAGAAGCAGACAATGACCACCCCAAGACAAAGACAGCAGTGGAAGATGTAGAGGATTGTCTTTTCGAAATGAGCCGTGCAATTGCACACAGTGGGGGCGTGTCCGTACATTCATTATCAAGTCGGTGTGGACAGTCGCTAGAGCAGTGCAACAAAATTGTGGAAAACCATAAGCTCTCGTTCCAAGCGGACCAGACGGGCATTAGATTGAGCCAAAGTGGCAAAGCACGTGCTGCAATGAGAGAATCGGAGAGAAGTTCGAAAGACAAAAGGAAATTGGAACATCGAATTGCAATGTTTGCCAGCCAGAAGCTTCAGCAGCTGCCGCTTCAACTGCCGCATACCTTTAGACTGGCTGAGCTGTGTGGGCTCATGATTTGTTTGGAGAAGCAAACCCACTGGGAACTTGCGGCTGTGGCCTTCAAACGTCTAGTTGCCCCTGAACCAGGCAAGATCCGCTCTGCCATAGTGCCCTTTCAGATCTCCCATGTGATGAAGTCGGTTATCAACTACGAGAAAGCCGGCAAAAAGATCTATGATGAGAAGGCACCTAGCTCGAACAATTGTTTTCATTATTGGTTCCTGGGTCTTGACACGTTTTTTTTGTTGTTCTTCAACAGTCTAGGCTTTTTAACGAGCATTGCCCTGCAAGGAATCTTTGGTGGCAGTATTGAAGGCAGCATCTTTGAGTATGCTGAGGAATGAGTCCAGCTCATATGTATCCTTAGACGTTGCAACGGAGTGTTTGGTGTCAGCTACGCAGAAGCCCTTCGTGGGCGTGATGGACATGACGGAACCTTGTCATGATAATTGTCATGATAAGGCTAGGCAAATTATGAAAGTTGTTGTTTGTTTGTCCCTAATTCATTTTTTTAAAGATGTTTTCTTATGTTTTCTTATTCATTCTAATTAGGAACCAAGACCTTCCAGCCAGTCTGTGTGCATTCGTTTGATTCATTTTGATTCCACTGTTTTGAGCCATTGCAGTTGAGGAACCCCAGATGATCCTGACATCAGCAGCTTCCCGGGTGGCTGCAGAAATCGCTGAAGATGATAATCCTGAGATATGCCCAGCTTGTTTTTCTCGAAGTTACAGCAGCTTTTTCGACTTTGCCAAACTTTGTGCATCTTTGGCGTATTTCTACTCCTTGGTCTGGCAGAAGATGCTGATCGAATACAGTGAGCAAGTCGTGCAGGTTTTTGAGATCTTGGCCGCTGCCGTGGAGAAGTTTTATGAGTTCATCTCGTCGGAGCAAAACGGTCTCCGTCAGATGGTAAGAGCTTTTGAGCTCATTGGCTCGGTGAAAGATGCTAGACTCGAACGCGCTTCTTCCATGGGCTTGCGGGGACTTTCAAGGCTGGACGTCTTCATTTCACATGCGTTTCACTTCTTCGCTTACTTATATCTTCATGTCTTTTTTTCTACAAAAGCCAGCTCATAGGCTATAGGCTGAAGTTCTGTTTAGCCAAACGAAGTGAGTGTTAGTAAGTGTGGAGGGGTAGGTTCAAAAAGGGAGGTTTTGGAAGGGTGAGCCCAGAGCCTGCCGAGGGAGAGCGAAAAATGGCGAGTAGTAAAGTCGCATTTTGAGGGCCCTTGTGATGCGAGTGATGCAGCAGCGGTTGATACCAGCATTGTTTGCATCATCAATTTTGGCGTGCCTCGGCATTTGTATTTCGGTTCAGTTCATGGAGTCAAGCCATGTGTGAAGTCGAGCCATGCGTGAAATGAAAGACACTGTGATTTACAGAGATCTAGATGCAGAGAGTCGAAGAAACATTGGAGAAAAAGAAGGCGCCTCTTTTGAAGTGGGTGCTGGCACCAAAGTTCGGTGCCAGGGCTAAAAAGGATACTTCCGAAGGGCGGGTTCTAGTGAGACTAGTAGTGAGAAGGTCCCTGACCAAAAGTGGGACACGGCAACAATCATTTTCCTGACAGTGTCTACTTTTTCCTAGACCTCAGCCACACTGAATATAGAGTTTTTTGTAAATCACATTCGTCCAGGACTTCAGAAGGAGTCAAAATATGAGGAAATCAAAGGTGATCGTTGGTCCAGAATTTCAGGAAAACATGTTAAGTCATGGCAGTAAGGATCAGATGATAGCTTATATAAACACAGGATTCTATAAGTGGATGCTTGCCTTCAACTTGGAGGTCCTTCAGGGTAAAACGAATTATTTTTGTCTTTTTTCTTTCCAGCCAATGCACAATGCACAATCTGTGAACGTTCATTGGGGTTCTCTGACAGTGTCCGTCACGTTCTTCTTCATGATGTCGGACCCACATCTTGCAACTCTTCGCTGATTTTGGGTGGGGATTCACGAGACAACGTCACGAAGCACGACCCACATTGCAAACAAGTATGTAAGAGGGATTGGCACAGATGGTCTCAACACCCGAAAACCCATAAACAACCATAATGCACATACCACTAGTGCCCTTTTGCGCCTTGTTTGAAGGCCGTCTCGGGGCAAAACAAGGGGGCGCCTCCGAAAAGCGGCCTGTAGCGATATGACCCTTGACAAAGCAGGACATGGCAGTGCGTCTTCGAGTCGTTGAACGTTGTAATTGAACCTTGCGAGCCGCTGTTTGAGATTAATTCTGGCAAACTTGTGGGACAAACCCGCAAAGTGCGGGAGGTTTGGCTGCTGCTTGAGATGAACTGTCGGTGTGGAAAGACACAGTGGATCTAGATTCAGGGAGTCGGGGTTTCTTAGTTTGAGGGCCGTCTCGGGGCAAGAAAGGGCACACATGAAGAAGTGGGTTCTAGCACCATGTCCCCCGAAAAGACCTTAAGGAGGGATTCTTGTTGGTGCCCTCCTGCCTGGCTTGGAGGCCGTCTCGGGGCAAAAGGGGCCACCTCCGACAAGCGCCCCATGCTTAAAAACACTCGGGCACGTTCTTTTTTACTAGGGGATCCCAGAAGCAGGGGTTGTCCAATATAGGGTCAGTGGGAGGATTCTTTTGAATAATCATTAGTTAGCAAAGACAGCAAAGATGGAAACCTGGGAAGAGCTTCAGAGCGAAAAGTTTGTATAAAATCCTTAAAAATAGAAAATCCTCCAGATCGAAGGGAGGGTCTTCCTTTTCTTTTTGCAACAGCCTTCAGTAAAATAGTGATTCTTTGGACCAACAACAAAACATTTCGAAAAGTGGACACAGGTGGACAGTTAGGGTTCCTTTTGGAGCCTAATATTAAAACCACATTACAGGGCGGCAATTTATAAACAAACATAAACCGTATTTAGGGGTCTCCGATAGGATTTTTTGATAGGGGAACGCTTTGTATTAGGTACTCGGGATTATTGGGCAAAGCAGGACACGGCAGATGCATCTTCGAGCCTTGCAATTGAATCTCGCGAACGATTTGGGTATTGTCAGGTGGTCCGTGCGGGAGTGTTGGAGACTCTCACATTGTTTGTTGGCAGTGAAACGCGTTGCTCTAAGCGTTTGCGAGGGCTTTCGTTTGCTCACTTCTCAGGTAGTTGCAGATGCGCTCAGGCGTTGTAAATGTTTAAAGCGGCCTGACCTCAGGTTGCTAGAGATCTCCAAACTGGATCTCTGGGACTTTGAAAACTTGGCTGCTGTGGTCAACGGCTTCAAGCTTCCACATCCAAATGTGAAGATGTTTGAAAAGATTGGAAAAGCAGCTGCCCGGGTGGTCAAGGCAATGGCGAAGGTGACGCTTTGCTGCAACATTTGGTGCTGAGTAGATATGCAAGGCGGTTCATGCTTGTTCAAGGTCTATGATCTCCTAGCCTCAGTCGGCGCAATGGTTTCAACTCAGGTCTGTAGATCAAATGGTGCATTTCATTGCAACCTATGGCCAGCTCGGTATTCTGCATCATTTGGAGAAGCTTCTCAAGCAGTTGCGAGATAAGAATTGGTTCAAAACCCTCATTGCTCCATGGAACATTGCGAAGATTGATGAGGAAGGGCATATGTTTTCGTTTCGCAGATATTTATGGGGGGTTATTTGGTTTTTCTTTTCATTCTTGATTGGGGAAGGAAAGGATGCTATGAAAATGAAAACATTGATCCAAATAGGGTCGGAGTTCATTCACTGATTCATACAACCATAACCACATAAATTTCACGTATCATTCTCGCATCTCAATAAAACATGAGGTTCACGCGCGGCAGACACGCAACACAACCTGGAACCAGGAGCAGATTCTCCCGCATGTCCTCGCAGCGATGGTTCGTGCCCAAGAGTTTGATGTACTCCAAGAGATCGCAGAGAAGTACAAAAACAAAGACATTTCTACGCAGAAAATCGTGGCCATCCTAACTGGCCTGTCCGGATGTGAAGACAAGCTGACAATCAAGAGTGCCTTCTTGAAGAAACTGGTGGATCTTTGCCGAACATGTCCTCCCGAAATCAAAGACATGGAACAGATCGTTTATGTTTGCCAAAAGGACGCAGGCTCTTTGAACACTCTGATCGAGATATGTCACCACAGAAACATCTTGGAATCCATCCCCAAGCAGTGGCAAGAACTGACCAGATGCCTTGAATGCCTTCTCGGTCCTTTCACTGATGCAAAGCTACGTGTGCCACTTTTGGAAGCTGCTTTTGCAAGCAGACTGATGCAAGCCCTTGCGCAATGCAGCAAACCAGAGCCAGAGGAAGTGGTAGCTGCTGGGCTGAAATTTTCGGTTGAGGCACTGGCATCCATGCCAGCCCTTGCGCACGCCATCATTCTCCGCATCAAGAGTTTACCAAAGCGGTCGGAGCTGGAGCGTTTCAAGACCTTCATCAGCAACATTGCCCTTTCTGCCAAGCATGTCCCGACTGAGGCATTGGCGGGGGGTGTATGGGGGTGTTGACAGTTTTTTTTTAGGTGGCTTGTGAAGATGCAAGGTATTTGTAATGCTTAGGGGTAAGGTATGTTCTAATCAACAGAGCAACACGCGGGATGGCAATGTTTTCGGCAGCTTTGGTTGTTTTTGTCAACCTTTGGGGTTTATATAGGAGGCTGGCTACAGATTCTTAACCTACTACAGACACCATAATGTATTACGTATGGAGACATGCCTCGGACTGAATGAGATACTGATTGCTTGGAAGCGAGTCCTCCGTGCATGCGCATAAGAAAAACATGGAAGGTAGGCAAGTGTATTTTGTGACCATGACTAAGGGTTCTGAGAGCGGCTCATCTAGCTTTTTCTGTTCCTGCAAGTGCGATCAAATGAAAATCCGGAGTTGTCATGTGCCTTAAAGTTGCCTTCATGATATGGACTTGTCCAGCAATTGGCACTGTTGCCACTGCAATGCGACCGCGATTAGAACGTGAAAGGCTGGCGATTGGTTGGTTCCCGACTTGATTTTGGGCGTGTTACCCTTTTCGCGGAACTTTTCCCTCTATCCAGTAGCGAGGACACAGAGGAGCCCTCTCGCAAAGTAGTTCCTAGATGTTGAAAGGGCCAAATTTTGACAGGGCCACTCTTCCATCTAGAAAAACAAACTTTTGAGCCATAAAGTTTTAAGGACAAACTCTTCAAATCCTTTCGACTGTGCGAAGGGTTGAAGGATGTTGACGGGCTGGGCTGGAGCTTTAGTTACTTCTCTAAGCTTGGCACTGGCTATCTTACTACCCTCGTAATATTAAAATCTATATATACATCATGTACAGATATGTACAGTATATATTACAATATCATATAAAATAGTAACACATAATATAATACAACACACAAACACGCCAGGCGGGCACAGCAGAGCTTGATGCCTGGACAGCTGCAATTGACAAAGTTATATTGGAGGAAGCGAGCAACCTTGGAACGAGTCGGTCAGACCTTTCATGGTCCCTGGTTGAGATGATGACAATGTCGTCCAACAACTTACCAATGAAGATTCGACAAGAACTCGGGCAAGCCTGGCTGTCAACAATTCTGGCACGAAGCCGAAGAGTGTTTTGGGATGGATTGCGCGTCCTGCTCGAGCCACCCCGACCAACAGAAGCTTTGCGAGCGATGAAACAGGAGTTGCAGGGACATCATCCTGAAACCCAATCGCCAGATGCCAAGCTCTCAGACGAGGTTACCACGGAGCAGCCCGTCCAGGCACTTACCACGACGTGTTCCCCAACATCTTCCCCAACATCCGCCCCGACATCCGTCCAGGAATCAGCCCCGGCATCGGCCAAACAATCTCCAGAACCTTCTCGTCCTGAAATTGAGAGGCCTCGGTCCCGTTCGCGATCCCGGTCCCACGCGCCAGAGGCAGCTCTGACAGTATCGTGCCAGAACCCCAAGTTCAGAGGGAGCTACCGCAGAAAAGGCACGAGGAATGGCAAAGCTGCTTTTGCAAAGATCGATGATGAAGAGGTGCAGCTGTTTACAGAGAAAACTTGTTGGTGCTTGGGCAGTCCCACCTCAGGGTGGATTCGGCACCCCAGCAACTCAGGAGGATTTGCGCCAACGGAGGGATGGGATGATCCAACGTTGAGGATCTCCTGGCATGCTCCAAGGGTAACCCACGGTAGCGTTGCAGCTCCCAGAGCGAAGGTTGCAAACAAGAAGCCTCGTACTGGGGATAGAGTCCTCAAGGGAACCCCTATGCCCCTGGTTGGAGAACCTTCACCATCTCCATCACCAGTTGAGCAGGCCACGCTGGTCACACCACAGGGTGAACTAAAGCAGTGGCTGCGATCTGCATCGGTGGATGGTATTTTAATGCAATACGAGGAGCGTCTGGTGGACCAATTGGACGGAGACATGACGTTTCTCCCGGAGTTTGTGTGCGAAGCCAATTCCGAGAAAGTCGGGTTGGCCCGAATTGATCCAGCTTTTTGGGAAGCTATCCAATGCACCAAGCTCGCGCACAAGTTGCAGTTCTCCAAGGCCATGATCAAATTGAAAGATGCCCCTCTTGCGTGACAGATTTGGGTGTGTCCCGTGACCTGCAGATTTTAAGATTCACAGTGCACGCGAGTCCTGTGCGGATGTGTGCAGAAAGTTTGCGCTGCGAAAGGGCTAATCAGACGACTGACAGATCCATTGCATATATTAGTTCATCAATATATATTCATATATATTCATCACAAATGGCAAACTCTCAAACAAGAGAATACTTTGTGTGCTGCCCTGCAGGCTGTCCTTGCTGGCCAGGCTGATGCTCAGAGCGAGACCCCGAAGGCAAGTATTGAAAAATGTAGGTTTTGAGTGGTCTTGATGGGTTTGGTGATGCGGCCGAACCGGGGTCCTGTTGCACTGCTCCACGTCAATTGGCAATAGTTTGATTATGTTTGATTGAGGTGCCGCCCAGGCCAATCTGGGACAGCTTTGCCTGCAAGGTAAACCAACAAACCCTCACCTCCATGCAGGTGCTTACTGCAAGCTGGAGTGTTTGCTGCTGGCGTTGTGCACTGCAATATAAGCTTGCATGAATGCTTATCAGAAGTGGCCCATTGGTTTGAGGTGTAGTGGTGGTTGACTTTGAGTGCAATCTCTTTGTACACCCGGCAGAACAGGGGCTCAGCACATTTTGTGTCAAAGACCACAGCGGGGCTACAAAGTGGGTCTATTATAAAACCTGCCATTTTGGGTATGCTTGGGCGGCGTATTGGTGGAGCAGGGCTGCTGCTGCCTTCATCCGTGTAGCGCATCGATTCTTACATCACAGTCACTTCCTCTGCATCTATGTGGACGACGCATTGGCATTGTTCCCGCGCAGGGTAGCAGCCCCCATGGCCTGCCAGCTACTGATCCTGGCCTGTGTACTTGGCTTTCCGTTAGCTCGGCACAAAGTTGACCTTGGCGACCAGCTAAGTTGGATAGGCTGGGATTTGCGTTTTCAGGGCTACCCCAGCGCATTCTTGCCGGCGTCAAAGCTTGAGGCCATGCTTTGCAGTCTGCAGCAGATTTGTGCAACACCCCGCAGGGTGAACCGGAAAGAGCTACAAACCCTGGTGGGGCGTCTTGTGTGGTACACCACAGGAGCTTTTTGGCTAAAACCCTGGCTGCAAGTTTGGTTTCATATGCTGGGCAAAGTGCGACTGCGCTTTCAATCGTTACAACGCGAGCAGCTGAAAGATTTGTATCATTGCTTGGATAGGGACTGCAGGGTATCCCGCCTTCCCCGGCTTTGTGATATTCAGGTTGGCTGGAAACTGCTAGAGATTGGTGGCCATGCGGTACAAAACCGGGCTGACATATTGTGTGCGCCCCTCAAGCGTGACCAAGCCTGGCTAAAATTTTGTGAAGACGGTTCAGCAGAGATTTGCTTAGCCTCTGAAGAGCTTGCAGTGGCCCGGTTTGTCATGCGGTTGCTTCATGCGGTTGCTTCAACATCAAGAGGATGCGCCGGTGCATTTGGTTGACCTCCCCGGTCCCTGCGTTGCGGCGGCAGCGGATGCCTATGCAGAAGGGACCCGGGCTGGTGTGGGCGGTTGGTTCCTGCCAGAGGGCGCAGAGCTCCACCCGTCCAACATCTTCTGGTCCTGCGAAGTAGAATGGGCCGCTTTACCAGCTTGGTTTACAACAGATTTGCGTGATTTGCAATCGGCCATTGCAGCCTTGGAGGCCCTAGCCCAGTTGATCCTTTTGTTGTGCCAGCGGTCGCAACTATCTTTGGAAGCAAAGATGGGGAGAATTTCTCTTCGTCAACAGTGGTGTAGTGTGCAGCACAGCAAAGCATTTGTCCATGTAACAGCCGCTGGCTAGTGCTGCGCTTTTCTGCTTAAAAGAGCGGATCACCTTGAAAGTTTCTCATGTTGCTGGCGTCCGAAATGAGTGGGCTGACATCCTATCACGCGGAGCAACGCGAGACCCTTCCTTTTGGGCGCAGCTCTCCAAATCAAAGCAGCTTTTCCCAGACTGGCTGAACTTAATCTTGGGGCTACCACGTTAGCCTAATTGCCAAGCACGCTTTGAGTGGAGTGGATGACAGATTGGTGGGACCACGCTCAGTTTGGGTGAGTTATGGGGGGGCTCTGCTGCAGGTGCTGACCTGCCAGCCCTGCAGCATCCCCCCCTGCAATGGTGGTCCTCCAAAATAGTGCGCGTGCTTGGAGACGGAGGGTTGGACAGCTTTGCCTGCAAGGTAAACCAACAAACCCTCACCTCCAGGTGCTTACTGAGTGTTTGCTGCTGGCGTTGTGCATTGCAGTATAAGCTTGCGTGAATGCTTGTCAGAAGTGGCCCATTGGTTTGAGGTGTAGTGGTGGTTGACTTTGAGTGCAATCTCTTTGCCCATTGGTTTGAGGTGTAGTGGTGGTTGACTTTGAGTGCAATCTCTTTGTCCCACCCTCCCTCCCTAATTGAATGGCATGGTAGGTGCCTTCTCTTAGGCAGCCCATGTGCTGCCGGGTGAGTTATGGGGGGGGCTCTGCTGCAGGTGCTGACCTGCCAGCCCTGCAGCGTGCCCCCCCTGCAATGGTGGTCCTCCAAAAATTGTGCGCGTGCTTGGAGAGGGAGGGTTGTATAAATACCTAGAAAGGAATACGAGTTTTAATTTATGGACATTGGTTGTGCTCTTGGTTGGCCTGCAAGTGGAGCATGTCGCAGCATATGGGGAATATAAGTAACTGTATTCAAAACACAGAAGGTGTTTGGGTTTCTCAATAAGGCCCCGTTTAAATTGTTTTCCATTTTGTATGTTTTTAGACATACAGTCTGGCGAGGGAGTCCATCTTAATTGAACTATGATTCTGCAGGCGCCATCGGGTCGAGGTCCAGTGTTGCCCGGCGCATGAGTGCTTCTGAATCGAACGTTTTGTTTGCGACTCTTGCGATTCGCGACTGTGATGTTTGTCCAAACAGGCAGTTTGTATAAATTGGCATGGCTTGGCAATTTTGAGAATGCTTGTGACATGTGACAGATGAGGATTACAAGGCAACCAGACCACATTTATGTGGGCCAATGTTTCCAAGGCATGGTCAAGCGCGGCGCCGAAAGAGCAGCAAGGCTCCATTTGGGTCGAAGCACTCGTACGGAGTCAGGGGCATGTTGTTGAGCACCCGCTGCATGATGATGCGTGAGAATATGTGAGAATAGTGCGCTCGTTAAGTTCTCTGGGCACTCTAAAGCTCGCATTCCCCGACTTGGTCCTGAAAACAGATGAACACAGTTTGCCAAAGATGCGTTCAAGTGTCCTCACAAAAACACCCTTGATAGGATCTGCTGCCTGATTCTCCTACTTGTTCCAGTCTTAGAGTGGCTTGTGTAATTACAATGGAGAGTCCTTGGATGTATTCTGATCTAACATTCTGAATCGCGAGGGACAGATTTTGCAACTTACGAGGCGACTTCCTTCGACCAAGGTGCCAGCAGTTACACTCAGCTTCGTGCAGACAGTTCAGCAGGCAGGTGCGGTCAAATGCGAGAATTACTATATATAATAGCATGATGCTCCGATCATCTTCAATAATGAACAAATTTCCCCCAAAAGTGTTTCTATCCTGCGTCCTACCTAGAAGCTAACTTAGCCTAGTAGCTTACCTCCCTTACTTAATCAAGTAGGTGCCTACTTAATCAAGCAGGGAGGCAGGGGCCTCGGGCCAAAGAAAAGAACTTCAATCATTTTGCCTCAGCTCGAAGCGGAACAGGTCCTTGGGGTGAGGGTGAGCGCCGTGTGAGACGCAGACGTCGAAGGAGAGATGCTACAGAATCTGGATGGAGCCTGAGAAAGGCCATACGCAAGACCTTCGGACCTGTGGATGTTCGCCTTAGTCTGATTATGTTTGATTGATTTTGCAGATCTCACAACAGTTCTCCAACTTCTTTGGAGATTTCTACACTTCCTCTTTTATCCCTTTATTTTCCCTTTGCCCCACCAACTAGGGCCAAGGACGGAAGCAAAGTACGTTTGTATACTATGATAGTACATGTATACTTATACTTATACATATTACATAATCAACATTTAGTCTTGATCGATTCACATATTTCGACTTGCGGGGATTTCCGATGCAGAGTCAAGAGACAAAGGAAGTGCAATGTGGCTAGTGTCACTTCGATGTTTAGCTCAACACAATCGCTGGCAAGCAGATGTTTTTTTCTTCTGGCTATTTTGTCATGCTACCATGTTCCTTGCGTGCAATGACGCTGTGACGGTTTCCTGGTATGGATTTGCATGTTTAACAGAAAGTTGGTGCATCGAACGAATGAGCAGACGAGCAATTATATACATGAACAGGAAGCGGAGAAGTTTAATGCATGTAGACTCTGACGATCCAGTTGGCCCTTCACACTTCAGATGATTGTTTTTTCCAACAACCACAGAGAGAAGGGGCTTACCTTGCCAACAAATTTGCCCACGAAGATCATTTACAGATGATATAATTAAGCTGGCCTTCCACGAACATCAAGATTCAAGATAGCATTGTCGTAGCATATGTCAGCAAAGAAGCTCCACCCCCGCCGCCTTTAGGGTGGCGGGGGGAGCTTCCTTGAAGAAGCGTGAGCTATCCTGCGTCCTAGCAGGAGCAAACTAGACGCCCTTACTTAATTAAGTAAGGAGGCAAGGCCACGGGCAAAACAACTTGACCTCAAACTCAAACAGCCGCCTTCTACTGCCTGCTTGAGCACCTCAAAAGGCTGACAACTGCGGTGACATCATAAAGCAGGGCATGACATTGGAAGCGAACACTACACGCACAAGCAGCTCTTTTTGAGGAATTGGGTGTCTTGCTCATTGAGTTTGCTTAAGCCTCTTCAATGCTGGTACCAGGTCAAGATTCTTCTTGGCGGGCGTCTGAAAGAGACAAGAGGACCTGCACTAGTTCTGCCACATCCGCAAATTTCGGGATATGCGGATATATATTATATATGCATATAAATATGTTATGTGCCCACAGATATGCTGTGAGCAAAGCATGTTTTGGCTTCCACTGAAGTAACATGCAACAACTTTGTATGTCACATCAGAACTAGCTTGGGAATGTGGCAGCCCCTTTCAAGAAGCCAGGTACCTTGGCCGAAGCAAGGTGGTTGCAACGCAAACGAGGTCAT